CATAAACACAGGACGAAATGACCTCTTTTTATAACAAATTTCCTTCCCATGGCTTCGTTACGGAATTCTTTGTAAAAAATCAATAGGCTTGCGGCTTGGATGACGAATATGCTTATTTATTGATTCTTGATGTTATGGTCACTTGACATATACATTCCATCATCCCGAGGAGTCCGAATTGCGTAAAGGTCCTATGACAAAATTGATAGTTAAATGCCACGGCGATCAAATTTTGGACGCAGTCAAATTTGATTTTATAGTTCCTCGAAACATATTGACTATACTTTTGTCCAGGAAAAATCCGGTAATAAATCACCTATCGTCATTCCGCACTAATAATTTGAACATGAAAGTTGTATTTACAACATCAGATATGACATCGCTAGTTGGAAGCTCACTTTCCAGAATTTTTTTAATGTTGCAAAAAGTTCCTTTAATAATTTCTTTTTTTATTTATTCATTATAATTTTTATTTTACTTGATTTCTTTACGCATAATGAGTTGTAAATATCATTTTGAACATTTAACACATTTTTATATATTTAACATTAGACTTTGTTTCATTTATTTATCAAAATTAGAATTTAGATTTCATTAGAAGGTTCTTCTTTTCTTTTTATTTTTTTGATGTTAAAAAATAAAAGGGATTTAATACATTAACTGAACTGTTTAGTAATAAAGGTGTAAAAAATAAAAGACGAAAAAAAGGAACGGGGAAAGAAGGAGGATATTTAAATATTTATTCTTGATTTACAATCGCAAAAAAAGAATTTATTTTCAGTCTCATTCGTAAATTATCGATGTAACATTTTGAAAGTGAATATCAGTATTCATATTTATGAACATAATAACGTGATAAGAATAATTTAAAAAATAAGTAAATTAAAATAATAAAATATTGAGAATTCGTCATTTTAGATTTTTTTTTTTTAAAAAATAAAAAATGAAAATAGATGAGATTTTTATTAATCAATAATTATCTTTCAACATCAATGACGATTAAGCTTTTTTATTAAACTTAATAAATTTTTGAATTACAGAATTTAGCCATAATTGAAACTAAGCGCGATAAAATATGAATAGTTTTATGGAAGCGCCACTTAAATGTTTTTGAATCGATTTATTTAATTTATTTGTTAGAAAAATATTTTTTTTACCAATTTCGAAATTTGCAAATTCACATAATCAAAACAAATTTTCATTATTAAAACTGACTGTGCCAAGGCTTACTTTATAATGAAAAATCCCCAATCTATTATATTAATGATCCCAAAAAAATTTTATTTATTTTTCGTAATGACGAATTAAACGTGGCACTCCCGGAAATTGACTGCGTCAAAAATTAGATCACCCGATCCATTTGCTGTCATTTCTGACATATCTGTTAGAATTGACTTTTCGGACTTTTCTGCAAGTTCGGGATGATGTTAAAATGACCGTTTGTTGAAATAACGAAGCAATTAATAAGCATTTCCGTCAACAAAGCCGCAAAAATTAGTAATCCTGCCAAGAAGTCTTACATGGGAAGGAAATTTATTATAAAAAGAAGGGGTTTTTCGTCTTGGATTTTAGATAGATTTAGATAGTTTCTTTTCTCTTTGGGCCTATTGCAGAGCGTCGGCAGAGGCAGTATTATTTGCATTTTCTTATTTCATATAATTATGTAATAAATTTATTTCCTTTTATTTATTTCAATAAAAACTTTATTTAATCTCTATTCAATCACAATTCGCTAAATACATTGAGTTCCACATAAAGTAAACATATTAACTATAAAATCGCCTCTCCTCTTTACGAATTTAGGAGGTGACACATTCATCTTTACGAATTGAGTCAAAAAGAATAAGTTTTTATATATAAGCTTTTTTTAAAGCTTTACTCTTTTTTCTTTTAACTTTACAACTTATTCATTACCTTCACTTTTTTTATATTACAATTAACCTTGTCCTTATGTATTTAACTTTATAAATTATCTTTACTTTTAATGAATTACGTTAACGTTAAGAATATTGACGATGCAATGTCGCTGACGGTGTAAAGCGTGGTACAATAAAAGGTTAACTTCTACAGATGAAGGAAGCAATATGCCTAAATATTTTAAAGGAAATGATGAAGAAATGCAAGCTTCTCTTATATCATTTATATTAGAAAGAGAAATAGGGAGAGGGAGTGGTAGTGGTAGTGGGAGAGAGAAAAATAAAGAGGATGAGAGAGGATAGAGAGAAGAGCAAGTGAGAGGAAGAAAGAAGAACAAGAGAAAGGTAAAACAACTTGTTATCTTATTTAATATTGTATATACTTTTATATTACTTTTTATGCTTATTTTTGTTCTCTTTCTTCTGTGTGTATTATTAATTAGAAGGTAAGCCTTCAAGCCGTCAACATTTACATGATGCATACCTTTTTGATAACAGTCAGGAGTTTTTGTTGATACTATCAAACTTTCATAAATATTAACTTGTTCCTTATATATTTATTCTCAATTAATTAATTCTGGGAAGATCTAAAGAATGCAAAGGTTGAAGACGAATTTCTCTATCTGTCTGATAATGAAAAATATCGTATGATTTGCGCTTGATGATAATATACAAAGGTTACGGTTCACCGGCAATCCAAGGCAGTATTGTCAATGACCTTAATATAAGCTCAAATTACTCATTTAATTATTAATTCCTAGTCAAAATGATTCATTTAAAAAAATAGTAAATGACCTTAAAAATTGCCATCATGATCCAGGGATATTTCAGCTATTTTTTTACTATGCCATCTTACAAATCTGGATGATGCAAATGTTCGGTATATACTAAATGGACAGCTACCAAATAGATTAATGCTAAAATGATACTCGTTTCTTTACCTAAGAAGTAACGTTTCAAACTAATTGATAAATGGGATAAAATTATTGCGATATATGCCGGATGGAAATTTGAAGAGATTTTCAATCATCTTCAAGAAAAGAATATTATCTTGAAATGGGGAGGATTATTCTGCAACATGCTTATGATGAATCTGATCTATCTGATGTTTTTTAAGGGAATTTTGTAACAAATCCATTGAAGGAACCTTTGCTTAGTTTCATTTTAATTTTCGATAGGATTGAATTAGATAGTTCTATTCTCAAAAGGGCCTATTGTAAAGCGCCTACTTAAGCAGTAATAGTAGATTATTTATTGTATTTTATTCATAAACATATTCTTTTTATCCTTCTTAAGTTTAATTTTAAAATTGTGCGACGCTCGCCCAATTTCGTTCATTCATGTTGCTATCGTCTTTATAAAAAGTTTTAATTACCTCTCTCCTTACGAAATAAAAGGTAACAGTAATATCGAAATCGTAAAGTACTACCGGCTATTCGAGAAAAACATTCTATCAATAGATGCATAAACTGATCTCTTTCAAATGACATCTACTTTGTAACAACCTACAAAAAATGTTGGACTGGAAATACTTAATTGAATAGTATCTACAACAGAAGATATTAACATTTATTATGTAGTACCAATGATTTATTCAATAAATTTCAAAAGCAGGATCTTATTGGTAATAATTCTTGAGACAAAGGTTAAATTGCGTTAAGCAATACGTTTTAGAAATTGGTTTAAGCTCTGAATTATTTAGATCTATTAGTAGTAGCAACTTTGAATAACAAACCGTCAAAATACTTTATTTTTATTAAAACATAAATACTAAGTAAGTTAATTAATATTCTTTTTTTTTGTAATAAAAATAATTTTAATTTTTACTTGTGATTGGAATATTCAGCACTCAATGCATCAGTTACAGGATTGAATTGCTACAATGTACTCTCTTGAATTATATTTTAATTATAGCTTATTGCTTTTGAGAATATATCTTTTTTATTTGGTTTACAGCTCGAATAAAAAAAGATGAACTAATGAAAATTATTAAGATATAATGTGTTGATAATATAATATTAACAAAAAAAAACAATGACAAATCGTAAAAAGCCCATTTTTCTTTACGAAAAGAATATTATTTACTTTTCATTAACGGAATGAATTGATTAGTATTAATTCCTAATAAAATTGAAAAGATCTTATATATCTTGTTGATTAGTACTTTTATTTGATGATAATTCGTCAATTAAATTTACTATCAGTACATCAGATAGTAATATCCCTTACTTTCAACTAGTAGCCGGTGCAAATATTGGAGTCGGCTCGACTCTCATTTGAAATTAGCGATTATAATTATATTATTAATATAATTAAATTAATGTTGCAAATCATAAATAAAGTAAGTTTTCAGAATCCCTTTCAACTAAAATTTGTAACTTTTGTTTAATCAAGAATTTCACGATATGGTGACATGATATCTAAAGCGACAAAGTATAGTCATTTGAAAATTCAGGAGTCGACTCTACTTGGATTTTGCAGAGTCGACTCAGCCGTCGACTCTGACTCTAACGGCTGGTACTACTACTTCCAACAGTAAATTAACGATGATTTAGAAGAATATTAATCACGGGTTGTTGATGATATTCAAGAACTTGTTATAAATTCTGTAACGATATAAACGGCGGTATCCTTTAAATCATAATCGTTGATTTATAAAAAAAATAGTTAAAGTAGTATCCCAAAAAGACAACTAGCCTCGTTTCTTTTGGGATTTGTACTGTCGCAGTCTTGTAAGTATATTCGATAGATAAAGCAGTTGATTAACTAGTTCGATACCAGCATCTGCAGGAAGTGGTGGATTTTTTTTTTATTTCAATTGTATCGTAATCCTAATGACTAATATAGAAAAACAATGAAGTCCTTAAATATAGATAGACTTTTCTTTTTATATATACAAGAATGAATAGCGTTACTTTTTAGTCTATTTACATCATAGACTTTTAAATCGAAATTAAAAGTCGAAGCTTTTAATTTTAAAATTTTTTTTAACTTTTTTTTTTTTTGGTCAAAATACTGTAAATACGCTGTACCGTCGATATCTTTTATTTCTCTGGTAAAATTTCTCGTAGAAAAATAAAAGCCATGATTGACGAATTTAAAGATAAATACGCTCCAAATTTATTTGACGTACTACTAACTGATCTTAATTCAAAAGAATTACAGCAAGAAATTTCCGAAAGACTTAAAATCTCATATTTATCAAATACTCTTTATACGGAATTGGAAGTAGTAAAGGGAGATGTATTTGATCGTAATTTGAGACCGTTTGTCACTATACCAGTAGAACGTACAATTTCTTCTAAACACTGGTTCTCAAACTACATTTATTTGTGAGGAGTATTTTAAGTCATTTAGAGTAAAGTTGCATAATTCTGCTCATCCAGTGCTCAAATAACTGCATATTTGTCACCTCAAGGTTCACATTTCCAAGAAGTTATCTTCTTGGGACAGAGTATCTAAATTCCTCTAAAGTTAGATTATTGGTTGATTTTAAAACTAGCATGTCTCTTTAGATTTTTCAAATACTTCCCGTATTTAAGTGACGATAATGACATCGTTGAAAATTATCTTAAGTACTAACAAATGGATTAGTTATAAGCAACTATAATAATTAATTTAAATATTATTCATAACTTTATTGTTTTTATTAAAGAAAATTGGTATTTATTACGTCCTTATTAATAATTGCGAATTTTATTTGCAACGTTAGACATGCATGAATATAACTTTTTAAAGATTACTTCCGAATTTATGAGTCAAACATACTGTAAAAATTAACGATGATAAATCTAGTTCAAAAATTTTTTGTTCATATGTGATCTCTCTTAAAATTCTAAATTTTCTGAACAACTTCTGTTGGTATAATAGCAAACCGAAGTAGGTGTACAAAATTATTCGATAAAATTGGGCTGCTAAACAAGAATATTTTAAAACATTCTTTAATGAATAAATAAATATTAAAACCAGTACAGATGTCTACATTAAAAGAATAAGTATTCCTTGTTACCTAATATACTTAGAAATTTTTATAAATAATTTTAAACTATTTAAAAAAAATATATATATATATTTTTTTTCAGTTGTCATTAAACATTAGAGTAATGACTTAGGCAATATTTACTTAGTTATATAAGTATTACTATTATGATCAACAATATTTCCAGGCAAAGTATGTTCCTCGTTAATGTACCTAGGAAATTGTTCATTACTTTTTTTATTTTTATTCCATCTATAAAATAAAAACCCACATGCCATAATTATGACGGCGCCTACAGTTCCTCCAATTGATGCGATTACAATTTTCATTGTTACCAAGTCACTATTAGAATTATTTGCAACAATTGTTGACGTAGATGGCGATGAATTTGTTGTTTTTGAGTCAGAATTTGTCGTTATATTTGCACTTTCTACCTCAAATGAATTAACCCAAGTATAATTTCTAATATCCATTATGTAAATGTTAGAATTTTTTAATGGTAAAGGACTGGCATTTGGTTGTGTAATATTTCCTATCGAAATGTATTAAATAAATTATTGAAATAAATATTTTAATAAAGGAATGTAAATTATTATTTACTTACCAAAAGCAACAATCATATAATTTCCAACAATATTAGCTGTATGAGCTGTAAGTGATGGTGGAAGCTGTCCATTAACTGGTGGCACAATATATTCAAATTGTTCAGCTTCCATATTTAAAACAACCAAATTTGGAGCAGCTTGCATGTCTACTGAGCCTAAAGTACCTCCATAAATAATGATTTTATCATCTGGAGCTATTTTAACAAAAAAGTGGAAATAAATAAATAAAATGAATACTATAATCATTAAAATCACAATCATACCTAAGACTGCAGTATGTCTACAACGATTTTGAATTATATTGGAAGCTTTTGCTGTCTAAAAATAAATACAGCATATTAACATTACATTTTAAATATTAAACTTTGTTTATACTAAATATAATAATATAGATACATACTTTCACTGACCAAATTTGAGACTTTGTATCATATAAATTAATATTTTTAATATCATCTATTCTTAGAGTGTCCTCTATTAACATTAAACCTCCAATATATACAATAACTCCATTAGATAACATAGTTGCGGTATAAGAAATTAGCGTACTTGGTTTACTAGCTGGAATGATTAACCATGATAATTCAGCTGTATTTAGGATGACCATATCATTGTATCGTATTATTGTTTCTGAACCTAAAGTATTATCAATATATCCACCAAAAATATATATTTTTCCAGTATTATCAATAACACCCTTCATACTTCTTCGTCTTTCAGGTGGCGTCCCTTCCACATTAGGTACACTCCACGATAATGAATTTAAATTAAATGAATGAACATTTGAAACAAAAGCGTCTTGATTTAAATCATTACGCATTAATCCACCGAATAAATTAATAGTTTGTTCCTTATCATTCAATAATGCAGTTCCCCAGCAACTTTTGAATGGTATTCCGGCATTTTGCGTAAGAGAAATCCAAGGTGGAGCAGCTAAATTAAATGACTGAGATAAATCGAGATAAAACACTTGATTTGTACATGATTTAGCATTTTCAACAAATCCACCAAAAAAATATAGCTTATTTTCAACAAGGACAGTAGAATGAGCTAAACGCCCTTCAGGAGTAAATGACCCAACTTTAAAGAATAAATAGCTTAACAAAAAAATGAACAAGTTAAGCAATTTGCATATTTTAAAAGTCATAATGTATATTATTTTTAATTTATTTGTTAAAAAAAAAAAAATAATAATAAAATAAAATTGTTATAAACGTTCGAAAAAGGAAGAAATTTAAATAAAATAACAATCCTTTTTTAGAAAATTTTGCATTTCACAAGATATATACCGCATTAAAACAGAGTCGATCCTTTTTTTTAATAAATGATTTTCATATTATTTAATCCGCAGCCAAAGACCATGGCACGTGATGCATCTTTTTAAATCAAACTTTAGTTATTCCATGAAAAATATAGAGTAAAAAAAAAAATAGGAAAAAAGTGATAAGTTCTAATAGATTTTCAATTCATTATTTTCGTATGGTATTTAAAATTAATTTAAAAATGATTGCATTAATATACGATGTAACGAAAAATGTACGAACTTATCGAAGGATTAAAAAGTAATAAGTTTATTAACATAACAAAATAAAATACAACATAAAATCAACTATTACTGTCTCAACTGGCGCTCTGTAATAGGCCTAATGAGGAATAAATCGATTGTATCGAAATAGCAAAACATAACAAAATTTCCTTCCCATGGCTTTGTTGGCTTTGTTAATTAAGGTTGTCACTTTTTTTTACAAACAGTTTAGAATCACCAACATATGGGAGCTGTGCTATTAAAAATGGGTTACGGTAACCTTTCAACAAAAAATGAGATTTTTGATTCATATTATAGTATATTAAATGAACTTTATTTGGTTAAATTTTTAGA